AAATGTTCTAGATACTTTGATAGTATTAGGAAATAGTTGGGAAAAATTTTAATGTACTCACTTATAGAATTGTAACATACAACCTGTTATAAACATATTTCCAGGCACTTGAAATGACATTCGTCCAATTAGTATCATTTTCTCTCCTGTATCCGGATGAAAAGCTGAATCATATACATTCTTTGCATGCCAAAGCTTTTCTACAGTTAAACCAGGTTGAATAATACCTTTCCTGTAATCATTTTAAAGTAATATATATAACTAACTACAACACAATACTCACCGATAATTATGAACAATAGTTCTTGCTTCTTCTAACTCAGTAGACGTTTTAAGTATATTCAAAGGATTAGTTGTAATAAAAAAGTGTTTGGCTCGACCGATGTATGTAGATTGATCATATCGAGGCTTTTCTATGTTGATTGTTTTATTACTATGAACTAATTCTGACATCTATAAACATTAATAATAAACAAAAGGAAGTATGCAAATCAGTAAAAACTGTGGCACACTGAATATATATATAAAAGCCAATGGGAACTTTAACAAGCAACTACAAACAAAGTTACCGTGTAAATCCTTATGATAAAAACAGTTATCAGAAAAAGTAGAGAGTGGATAAATATCGTCTGATATCCATGAGTTTTATTTGTCTGATAGGATAAACATTCAGGCAACTCAACAGTTAATTCTGGGACATGTATCAAAACAATGGTAAATTAAAGCTTATATATATGCAAACCTAAAGAAATGTACCGATGATTGCCAAGAATTTTTAATGGCTACTATTCAAGGTGGGGCAAAAACTTGGAGAACTATCAAAACCATCATCAACCACAAGATACAAGTGTATACTAACAGTTATCTACGCAAAATACTTCCAATCTGTTGGCTAGACACTGTCAAAAACAACCTACTGTGAGAGAGAACAAACCAGATTCCAGTGGAGGAGGAAATAAGGAAGCAGCACTCGAAGTGGATAGGACACACATTGAGGAAAGCACCCAAATGTGTCACAAGACGAGACCTCACTTGCAATCTTCAAGGTAAAAGAAAAACAGGAAGGCCAAGGAACACTACGCCGAGAAATGAAGACAGACATGCGAAGAATGAATTAAGATTGGACAGAACCGGAAAGAGAATACCAGGACAGAGCAGGTTGGAGAAGACTGGTCGGCGACCTATGCTCGATTGGGAGTAACAGGCGTAAGTAGGTAAGTACTATCCAAGGCAATAATCATTTTTTTGTTGAAAATGATCAATTACGATACAGTTGTTAATAATAATACGTCTAAAATACAATGTTTACAATCCTTTTGAAAGTTAGAGAAAATAAATTAAGCCTCATAGTGGTTTCCAAAGCCAGAAATTCTGAATAATATTTTAAGAAAGACACTAAACAGGAACTCAATAATCACCCGAAATCAAATGATCCTATTTTAGTGAAGAAGGTAGCAATCCGATTAATGTGATGATTTATTTATTTCGTACAGAGTTGAGGGAAGCAGCGATTTCGAACCCAAATTCATTATTCTATTTATTTATCACTTCATTTAAGGCTAATCACTGCCAAAAGAAAATAGGCTAATTAAATTTAGAGCTTTCACCACAAGATAAGTAAATTTGATTGCATTGCAGTTAGTCATGAGAACATGCGTATTTCTATTAGTGTAGTTAAGCTGTAAGTTTTCTATGTCAAAAATTAGTTTGGATAATGCCTTGACGATTGTAACGGAAAACATTACCTATAAACCTGGTGATTTTCAAAATGCCAAGTACGCTCTACGTTTAACTTGTTTGGACTATTATGCAGTTAAGCATAAACAGATGTTTTCTACAACAAGCCGTTTATTGCCATTGGTTGGATATCTGGAGATAGAATAAGAATTTCGCTCAAGTTCATGCGAGTCTACTGAAACACAAGAACGAAACTTGGAATCTTTATGAAGATCGTCCATGACGGTGAAGTTCCACTTACAGTGAAGATGTGTGACCAGAATTTAAATGAAGAATAGACAATTTAGCGACAGTAATAAATAAAGATTCCGCATAACTTATCCCCGAGATTTGAAAGAGATTTTTTTTTGGCACGTTTAAATCTCAGTTTATCAGCGTTTACTTTAGTTTTTTTATTATGGATATGGGGCATATAGACATACAGCAAAAACTTGCTCATAACCGTGTTTTTCAGCGTAATTTATGCGTAAATGTGATTTATATTTAAACACAATAAAATAGGATATTGGTGAAAGAAAAATGAGTAAAATAAATGGACGTAGATCCGTCAGCATACTCGTGCGAAAACAACTCAACGAGCCAGTAGGTTTTGAAAAAGCCCCCTCAAAAATCGACCCTGAACTTAAATATCCAACATTTACATCATGACTGCCAATGTCCAATATCCTATGCACGAGCTAGTACGGACCGATCGAATTATTTGAACTATAATATTATTCTTTACAGTTTTATGTGTTCATTAGTGAAAAATTAGCTTTACGAAACTTTTGAAAAGAGCATGGCAGAAAATGATAAAAAGTATCACACATAAATCTCCACAATTAATAAGAATAAAAGTTTCATTCCGAACAGCGCATAACAGGGAATAGTTTTCCCATTCCGGTTATTTATGTAAACCTGAAGTTGTGCTTAATTACAAAAATAAATATTTCGCCTGGAGCCTTTCTCGGGAAACTGACGCTTCCAAGCCAGGGTGAACGAGGAGGGTTGGTTTTGAGTTTGGTGACCCCATCCCGTAAAAAAGTAACACAGTAAAAAACGCTAACCAGAAAAATAAATTCAAGCGATATCACCTCTGTCCTGGGGGTTGGAAGACCTTAATTCAGAAGAGTTATGATTTGATGATTTTGGTGGGAGACCTAAATACCAAGGTTGAAGTGGATAACACTACATATGAAGACATTGCAGTTGTTTACTAATGCAAGTAAAACACAATTGCTGAAATGGAAACACTTATAAGTGTACTTAATTCTGACAATCATTCTTATATTGTATACCTTTTGTTTATCTGTACTAAAGACTATCTCTCGCGCGCCAAGCGTGTCTTTGCCTGTCGGCCTTAGTTGTTAGCCGCTCATGTACCCTAGTTTAATGACTTCTTCGATACCATGAGGCTGGCATCAAATTTATTTCTTCCTCTAGATTCTCCTTTTATCTGATTAATTTAGTAACGGGATTAAAATTTGTTATCTCGCGAAGTGGTATGTTTAATAGGTACTACAACATTGGTGGGTGACAACAACTAACGCGCAACGAATTCAGTGAGTCTATCATTTTTTGTCCCGTTTTCTTACTATTTCAACTGTTAATTAATATATGTCAATATTTTAATATTTATATTACAACTACTACAGCGTTCGAAAATGGTAGATAGACCTGAAAATGACGATTTTTAGCAGCCTAGCAGATAAAAGTCCTGAATTTCTGACCTGTCGCATTTATTGCTCACGATCCAGAGGTCTAGTTCGCGGCACTAGGATCTTAATTTAGGATTTTGAGTCCAACGCATTAACCACTCGGCCATCACGACCATTATTGGTCTGCCACCAAAACTCATCTAACCAACAATCACAACAACTTCCATCCTTCACATATTCACTCATTTCACAATACTCACACAACATTGTCTGTCAGCGACTGTAGGGTTTAATTTGACCTACAGATGTATTTCTAAACTGTAAACGCAAATACTGATGATCACTGAGTCCACAATAAAATCAAAACGATGAAAACTTGGGTTTAAACTTTATCTGTTTCTAAACAAAAAAAAGCGATTAAATTAGTACAATAAATAAGGAAATTAAAATTATCAAGTAAGATGAGCAAACGTACCAACCAGTATAGCGTGTCTTTAGAAAATGAATAAGAACATGAGTCACAGCAATATAAATAAAATAATAACATCCTTCAATCGACAGGCCCTTAACAACAAAGAAATTTTATAGACAGGTCAGACTAGATAACGCGGTAGGGTCTTAACGAGTCAATTTGGTTAGGTATGGCATAACCACGATTAGTTATAAAATAGCTAACGCTCCCAGTTACGGGAGAAACGAAGACATTTTGCTGATCAAAACCTTCATGTATAAATATCATTAATTTCACTGTTTTTGGGTACATTTGTTTTACTTAACTTGTGAACTTGTGTGAATTATTATTTGCGGACATTTTGGACTCCCGTTTCTCTTTGTTGTTCGTTTGCAGTTTTTTGCTCCAAGAGCTAATAAATTAGAAGAACGACATTGGTCGTCTATTTGTAATAAAGTATTTTGGTCGAATTTGTGATTTGGAATAAACTTTGGTATCTACTTTGGAGTTTCGTTCTTGGTTTAGAAATTTGGGACCGTGAATTACAAATAGTCGACAACCGTGCTTCGTAAGATCAACGAGCAAAAAACTGGACATAACACTCCCCCCGAAGCGGTCACCACGTCCAGACATCGTTGCCGTCGCGCTCGAATAATCGACCTCTTCCAGTAGGCATAGGTTTCGTATATCTCGGTTGATGTCTACGGTATCTGTCTTCAGTGGAATCGTTCTGACTCGGCCATCGGGACCATAATCGACTTCTCTTACTAAAGCTTTTGCCCAAAGATTTATCAGCAAGCCAGTATTATTCACTAACAGTGAGTCTCCATGTTGTGGTATACTTCTCATTGACTTTATAATATGTTTCCATATGCCGCCTCCGGGATCAAAGATTAATGCTATAAACGACAAAATATTCCTTCTGGTTAGGTTTCCAGGAAACTTGTGAACTCTGAAAAACGATTCATCCGCTCGGATATTTTGCTCTACTCCCAGCGTTCGTTTACTCATCTCGTTGGATCCGCATAGGGTAAGGTTTCCTTCTTTTATTTCATCACTTTTCTGGCAAAATGAAATTGATGATACCGGTGGGGATGCTACTGTAGCTTCCGCTGCATATTTTTCGGTTCTTGTATAATTATGTTGTGAATTGAGACCACGCCTGTTCTGATGGTTTGACCTGATGGTGGATGTTTGACTCAAAACAGATACAGAACTGTCGAATCCATATGGACATGTGTCGTTCTCTTCGACAACTTTTCTTTTCAATTCATGACGTCTTCGACAGGCTTCGCGAAACTGGAGAACACTCTTGTTACAAACCATCCCATCCTGTTCAATGATTCCATCAAATAATGTTGGAACAAGAGTCTTTTTGCCTTCTAAGGCAGAGAAACCACTTGTACTTACACGTGTAGGACGTGACCAATAGCGATGTGTTTCAGGATCTGAAGTGCGATCTAATGACTAGCTTTCTGACACATTTTTCCTTATTCTTTTAGCTTCAGATGTTCCCGATGCAGAATCACTGCTACTACTGCATGAATACTGCGGATCAAATTTACTAGGGATTTTATTTGTGGATAGTGTACCTTGCTCTTTAAAGAATTTTAAGACATAATCGATTTCTTACCGAGTTGCTTTGCGTAACTTGCTGACGGGTGTCCATTCTACAACGAAATCCCAAATATAACGTAGGCGATACTCTGGTCTTGTACCATGTCGCTGACGATGGGTTAGAACCTCAGCAAGATATTCGAAGTCGTTGAGCCATGCAGGCATTACATAACTACCCACCTCATTAATTGCACCTATTCCCAAAGTTCGTGAGTCAACTAGAGCAGCAGGACTTTGTAACCAACTGAGAGTATTAATCAACAGTCTGCCTTTATACACACTAAACGTACTACTATCCGTGACCTGCAGAGAGATTCGTTATTCTTTTCAACACCATTGTTGTGTATATCATTTATTAGGGAATGGAAGGGTCCAAGATTATTCCACTTTTGTTAATTAGCATCGGAATTATGAGCTCGGCAATGCTGTCGAATAACTAGCATTTCTCTTTCACCTGCAACTAGGTCGACTTCCGCTAAAGTTAACGTTTCTTTCCGTTTATCTTCAACTACTTCCTTAGCAGAATCTTCTAGATTTTTCGAATCCTTACAGTCTGTCTGAGAAGCTGTAACAACTTTAGCCAATGTAGTAAAAGGACACGAAGCAGAATCATGACTTGTAGATGATGATGTCCATAAATTAACCGAAGCATCTTTCGACACATCAGCATTCACAACGCTTGGTGAAATATTTGATCCGAGAACACAATCAGATGGAATGTCTTTCTTAGCTATAGCAGGACTTGATAGAACGGTAGGTGACTTAGCTAATTCTTTCGATGCTTCGAGTGATGCAACATAAGCTTCTGTGAGAGAAACAGGATGACTAGAAAGAGAACTAGAAAAATCCTGACCTATCGATTTAGTCTGAGGAAGTTTTATTCCATTCAGGTTCATCTCAATTTCATCACGTTCATTTAACCTTTGCACTGTGCTTGATATAGCGTTGAATGCTATACAATCTTCCATAGACATAGATGGGGTATTACTAAATGGGTCTTTGGATTCAGTTGAGTACAACTGCTCAAACTTATCTTCAAGTTCCTCCTTAGCTGAGAGGTGATTAAGTAGATGGTTGTTATCACTGAATTCCCCGTAAGGACCAAACAACGTCCAACCCAATAAAGTCCTCACGGCAGACTGCTCATTTGTCTTTCCAGTTCTCATCTCCTTCGTCTCGTGTACTCTCGGTGCGTTACACCCGATTAACAGTTTAACATCCTCATCTTCTACTCTCGGGAAACTCACGTCCTTTAAATAGGACCAGGATGCCATTTGACGCGCCGTTGGTACAGTTCTATGAACTGCCGGTAGTTTTCTGACTGTCAATACCTTCTGGATCTTAACGGATGATGAGAAGTCTATCGCGTGCAACTCTACACCTACCTCTTTAGATACCAATGACGATTCGTTATTTATGGTCTTTAGAGACACTGTTCTCGGCTTTCCCTCGAGGCCTAACTTATCAGCTAGATCTTCCGATATTAGAGAGGTATCTGATCCACTATCTAGAAAGGCACACGTCTGCATAATTCTCTCACCGTTTTTTATCCACACGGGAACTACTGCAAATGCCACCGGCCTCTGTATGCCCTCAACGTCTTCCTCTGTTAATTAATGTAGGCATCACTAATAGTATCTCTTCGTTCTTTCCGCTTCCCATGTAACAGAGTATGGTGTCTCCAGCCAACAATACACGACCTCGGCGATCGACAATTCTTTGCTGTATGGTTCGCTTTCAGACAATTATTACATAAATTATGCTTGAAGACGAACTCTTTCCTTTCTTTAACATTTTTGTCTTTCAACTTCTGGCATTGATCTAAGGGATGATTGCTTGAGCAATCTGGACAAGGTGAACTATGTAAGGAGGTATTGGCGTCATTAATGCTTGCATGTGCTACCGTTGCTATGTTGTAACTTGCGACAGCTTTCCCTTTCAAAG